CACACACACACACACACACACACATACATACATACAAACATAAACACACATACATACATCCATACAGATATTCATACAGATATCCATACACATATACATACAGACATACAAACATCCATACATACATACATATAGACATACAAACATCCATACATGCATACATACAGACATACATACAAACATCCATACTTACAAACATGCACACATACATCCATACATACATACATACAAACATCCATACATACATACACACATACATCCATACACACATCCATACACACATACATACACACATACAAACATCCATACAAACATACATACACACATACAGACATCCATACATATATACATACATACACACATATAGACATACATACATGCATACATCCATACACATAGACATACACACATATAGAAACACAGACATACATACATACACACAGACACACAAACAGACACACACACAAAATGAGGGTGAAATATTTGGATATTTTATTATCTATTATCTCATCTACTTTCTAAAAATTTGACCTAGAACTTAACACATTAAGCTCTCGATGAGAATAAAGTGTATTTTTGTCACACACTGAGTCCGGAAAACAGTAAACTTCAACAACATAAGACATGATGAGATGAATTCAACATGTTTTGTTTTTTAAAACTATTGTGTGCAAATAATAACATGAATAACAAGAAATTATAAATTTTATTCTAGAATGAATAACCCACTGATACAATAGAATAAAGTGATCGAATCAAATGCTGAAATGACAACAAGAAACAACTACCTAGACCCAAAAAGGAAAAAAAATAACATTTAAAACAAATGCCGAGAAAAATATCCAAAGCAAAAAATCTAAAGATGTCAAGCTTGCTCCGGTAGTGACGGTCCCGTAGGTGACTAAATAGAACATGTTATGAAAAATATCAGGGAGTAAGTTTGACAAGCAAACTCAACAAAAACTATTAATTAAAGCATAAATGACAAAAAATGAGGTATGTAGTATGAACAATAAAATAGGGACGCTTACTACATGCATATATAACATGATAAGACAATAAGGGAGTGATAACCATCAAATATGCTTACTTATGATAATAAAACATACAATCATTCTCAATCAAGCTTCTTATTATTCCGTTTTTCATTTATTATTTATATAGTTGGTTTTTAAAAATACTCTGAAAACGGGAAGATCATTACTAACCCAAGGAAACGACAATTTTCTGTAGAGTCGACACTCTGAAATCGATGGAACCCTTTTGCAAATTGAATAAACATGAAACTGCTAATTTTATCGTGTAATTCCAAACTCCAGATTGAATCCTAACATTAGATTAAACAACTTACAAAAAAATTTGTAACTACCATTACAATACACCCAATTGAGGACAAACCCTAGCAATGAGCTAAGTATACTTTCCTAAATATAAAATTACTATATCTTGCATTAACAATGCTTCAGTGGATCTAGTTGGCCTTCATGCAAATTTATAAGACCACTTGAGTATCTCTCATCTTAAGGTTGAGTATAAGTCTCATCATGATCACCTAAATTGAATTGCATTTAGTTAAAGGATTGTGTCCTAGTGATAACAAAAAACTTTACATAGTGGTTAGCTCTACCAAGAAGGTAAAATAAACTAGTAGCATCAACATCATTGAGTATAATAAATCAAATCATCAAATACAATTGACCCACAATAACAATTACAACATTTATCCATTAACCATGGTCTTTCATTCCAATCCAAGACTCTATTACCTAAATACGCAAATAAACAAAAGCATAATTTGAATAATTGATTCTCACTTCAGCATAGATTACTGGCATTAATCTAGCAAAAAAAAAAAAAAAACAACTTCAAATTTGAATAAATTATGAAAGCTTGCATTTTCTTAATCAAACTGCTGAAATAACATAAATCTTATATGGGAAACAAAGGAAAATCCCACCTGGGATCTCACTGGAGCTTTGAATGGCATCTCAAGTTATTACTGAGACGAGGACAAGAACCTCAGCTGCTATACAGACACAGCCACTGCAATCTGCTATACATTTATGATTACTAACCACAAATCAAAATGCAAAAATCTCAAGAGAACCATTTTAGTTAATGTTGGGACTCTCTCCAAATGCTTCAAATTAGGAGAGGATGAACAGAGCTCATCAGCCTTCAAGACCAATTCACAAACAATCCATAATCAAACAAGAAACTACCAAAAGAATTTCTGGAGAAAATACTGATTAATCTCAACTCCAAACTTGGATGAGTAGCAGAGAAGCACAAATAGGAAGGCAGCCAGTCCTATATTGAATATTTTGAATTAGCATCGGAATACCTTTGTGTAGATGTGTGCAATTAGTTTAATTTGAATGGATCGATTCAAAAAACAGTCAAACTAAATCAAACCAAAATCTGAAATTAAAAAAAAAATCGAACCAATCAAATTTTAGCTAAAATCGATCCAAACTGAATCGAAATTTAGCATTTCACCTAAAATAATCATAACTTCAGAATATATTTCAAAATTTAAAATTTCATTTCTCTTTCTTATCTCCTCATCAATTCTTAGAAGTTAAAAATTTTCAAACTAATCTAAAATAAATAATTCATATGCTCAATTAATTTTCTTTTCAAATAAATTAAATTTTCCGATATTAACATTAATCAATTGGTTGATTTCTTTTATTTAATGGATATTAAAATGGAATAAAAAACCGAAAAATCAAATATTAAAAATTTTAAAACTAAACATAGAATTGTTATTTTAAAATCAAACCGAATAAATCAAATGAGCTCGGCTCGGTTCAATTTTTTGGTTTTGACCAAATAATGCACACCCATACCTTCATACCTTCATGATTTAAATAAAAGCAAACGCCAGACATTAACAAAAGATTAACTTGAATGAAAATTTTTTTTGGCACTTTCTCATAAGTTCCTGTCAATAAACTCCCAAATCCTTTCTTCCATGTAAACACGGTCTCGTAGCCGACGAGGCATATGCCGTTCGTCCGGGAAGACGAGAAACTCGTAGGACTTTCCCGCCTCGATAAGTGCATTGATGAGTCTAGCAGTGTGCCTGAAATGCACGTTCTCATCGATCATGCCATGAATTAATAGCAGCTTTCCCTTTAGATTGTGCACATGGTGCATGATGGAACCATAGCTGTAGCCCTCCTTATTATCCGACGGTAAGCCCATGTATTTTTCGGTGTAGAATGTGTCGTAGCCATCCCATGCAGTAACGGGAGCGCCGGACACGGCACAACAGAATGTATCGGGAAACCTTGCCAGACTCATGGCAGAGAGGAAACCGCCATAACTCCAACCGTAGATACCTATATGGCCGGGTTTAGCGAGCCCTTGTTTGATGAGCCATTGAGCACCAGTGAGCTGATCTTCTGTGTCGAAACGGCCGATGTTGTGCTTTAAAAAGCTCTCAAATTTAAGTCCTCGTCTCGCAGTTCCTCTATTGTCCAGCTGCAAATACCAAAATTACATAAGTCGATTGAATTTTGAACTTGATTCAGATATGCTCAGGGTATAATAAATAGCACAGGGATGAGGCTCCCAAATCTTTTGAATCTTTAGCATGAGATTATAACCTTTTAAATTCTGAATAAATATGCTGCTACTTCAAGACAAATACATTCAAAACTATAAGCTGATAAAAATGCTGGCGTCAGAACAACCTTATAAATTTATAACCGATAAAATTTTTGGCTTAGATTACTAAGCAGAAGTATACAGGATAGACCTTAAGATTGGCAAACAAGTTTGAGAATTAACATAAATGTTATACATATAAAAAAACATTGTGATATATGAAGCACCAACAGGATGTATGTGGGGGGTGGGGGCAAAACATAAAGGTTATAGAGCTGTATCAATTATTGCAAAAACTATCATAAATGTACAGGAAGGATATGGTGAATAATATGAATAATATGCATGCATACTAACAAACATTCAAGCATGCCTGGATTCAATTGATTGTATTTTAGGATATTCTGGGTACATGCGAGTTAATCAATTCTTGGCTAGCGTGACCATGCAAAGATAGAACCCCATCTGCTCCAATAACTTACTGATCCTCTCTGCTGTCCCACAATAGCATATACACTTAGTTGACACTGATCTAGGGGTCCTAGATGGTGTGGGAGGAGCAAGGGAAGGTTAGGGTTGTGTAGGATGAAAAACGAAGGAGAAACATCAATAGAGGCTGCAAATCCGGCAAAACCAGCAACTTTACAGCAGCATGCGAGCTGAAAACTGTAGGTGGGCAATTGTTGAAGACAGGAGATATTCAGACATCCTTGAGAGTTCATCAGCTAGACTTAATCAGGCTATAAGGTTATAGGCACGCCACTTGAGAGGAAGCAATGATATAGCACTCTGGCAATAGAAAAAAAGAGAACATATCTATACATATATATCTGTGCGTGTGGTTATTGCCACCTCATTGATCCATGTAATTATTTTTCGACGTCACAAATTCATGGGTTTTTAAATTGTAATTAAATTTTGGATATTTTTTACCTAAATTTCAACTGCTCAAATTTATATATATATCCTATTAGAGGTTCTCCAAGAATTACATAAATTCAGCACAAAAAATGGAACAATTCACACAACAATTGTCCACAAAAATTGCAATAACATAAACAAAAAGCTATAAATAAAACTTGTCCGATAAGAAATTCAATATGTTATAAACCGCCATATTCAATCTTCATAACTCTAGATAACTCTAGAAAGTGATTAATCCTCCCAAATATTTTAGGTTAGATAAATCAGTTTGAGTATAAAAAAAAGTTACATTATTATGCTTACAACTAACTTATTCCTATAGTCATTTAATTTGCAAAATAAAAATCTTTTAGCTGTATATGTTCTACTTAGCAATCAATTTTCATATTGCTAGTGTATTAAAATATCAAATTCATGAAGTATGTCGGGTTTGTGGAGTCGAAGCACTAGGATGTCCACTTTGGGGCGCTATTTGTTCTATTGGCGCTCGAGCGCTCAAGCGCCCAACTTGTTAGGCGCGATTCCTTTCTTTTTCGAGACACAATCGCTTTTACGGTGCAATTACTTCGATTTTTTTATTTTTAAAATCCAAAATTGAAGTGGTGGATTGTATTTCTTCAGTGCGTGAAGTTCCTGCAAGTGGAGTGTGAAATGAGTCAAAGAGGTTTCTTCAGTGCGTGAAGTTCCTGCAAGTGGAGTGTTATTCAACAGAAATCTCGGTGAAGGTGAGAGGTGTCAAAGAGAAGGATTTCTGCAATTTCGATGGACGTTTCTCGCATCGGATCTGAAGGAAGAGTGTGAAATGAGTCGTGTAAGTTTTTTTTGTGTGTAGAGAGGAAATTGGTGTGAGAACTCTGTAAAACTTTTTGAATTTCATAGCGGAATTTCTTCATGGTGTGACTTCGTGGTTTTTTCACGATCTCAACTTTTTTTTACGTTAAATTCCAATGTTCTTTTCTAGTTTACTTTGATTGTGCTTCCATTGAGATTTTATTCCGGTTTTCTTGAATATTATGCGATCTTGTTATTCCAGGGTGTGGTTAGTTTCTAATTGATCCTATGCCCCCGTAAAGTTGAAATTTGTTCTCATTATTCTTATCAAATTGATATAAGCGGGGTTCGATTCGAGTGGAAGATGATTCGTGGATGGTAACCAGGGGGCATTAGAGACGGCTCAGGGCAACATTGAAGGCACTATTTATCTGATCAATGAAATGGTTGATTTCATTGATAAAGCTAGAACCACGGTTTATGCAGGTCTGCGGCACTGAAGGCTTGACCATATGAGCGAGAAATATATAAAGTCCCTACTTTCTGAAAATAAACTTCAGAGTATGAAATCAGTTGGTTCTGTAAAGACTATAATATATGACAAGCCGAAAAAAGTTTATTTCTTTAAGAGTGGGTAAGTGATAGAAATCAAAGAAACTAGACTTAGTGTATGCTAATGTATGAAGTCCTACTCTAGTTTATTCTATTGGAGTTTTTCACTATTTTTTCATGTTTATTGATGATCACATGAGAAAGGTATGTGTTTATTTCTTAGAGCAAAAAATTGATAACATTAAAGTCTTTAAAAAGTGGAAGACTATGGTAGAAAATGGAACAGATTTAAAGCTGAAGTATTTTAGATCAGATAATGGGCATGAGTATCATGATCGAAAGTTCAGGAATTTTGTTGCTACAGAGGGAGTTAGACATGAGTTCATTGTCCCAAGGACACCGCAACTGAATGGTGCAGCACATAAACAAAATAATCACGGAGTGTGCTAGGAGCATAGACTGCTTGCAAGCTTGTTAAAACAGTTTTCGGCTGAAGCAGTAAATATAATAGTTTATCTGATTAACCGAAGTCCATCAAGATTTTTGGAGGAAGACTTACCTGAAGAAGCCTGAAGTGACAAAAAAGTATAGTATCTGAGTGTTCTGCATATGTGCATACTGATGCAGGGTATAGGAGCAAACTTAACTCAAAATTTGTCAAGTGCACTTTCATTTAATATGACTCAGATGAATTTGGGTATAAATACTGAGAATATAGTTTTCAATTGGGAGATTGTTGAGTCTGTGAAGTCGAAGCACATGGATGTCCAAATTTCAGACCGAGCGCCTGACGCCTAAGCGTCGGGCTGTGCAAGCTCAAGCACCCACTTTGGGGCTCTATGTGTTCTATCGACGCTTGAGCGCAGGCTTTGGCGCTCAAGCGCCCAAGGCATATAGAGCAACTCCTTTTTTTCTCGAGAGACGGGCTCTTTTGTGCCCAAGTGCCTGGTGCAGTTACTTCAATTTTTTGATTTTTTTAAATCCCGAACTGAAGCGGTGAATTGTATCTCTTCAGTGCTTGAAGTTCCTGCAAGTTGAGTATTCTTCGATAAAAATCTAGGTGAAGGTGAGAAGAGTCAGAGAAAACTTCTGCGATTTCGACCAGCGTTTCTCGCATCGGATTGGAAGGAAGGGTGTGAAGTGAGTCCTATAAGTATCCTTGTGTGTAGAGAGGAAATTGGTGTTCTCTGTAAAAGTTTCCTGAATTTCATATTGAATTTTTTTTTGTGTTGTTTCGTTATTTTTTTTCGTTCTCGAGTTTTTCCACGTTAAATTCTTGTGTTCTTTTCTGGTTTGTTTTGATTGTGCTTCCCTTTACATTTTGTTCAGGTTTTCTCGAATCTTGTTTGATCCTGCTATTCCGTGGTGTGGTTTTGTTTCTACTTGATTTAAGCCCCAATAAAGTTGGGAATTGCTCTTGTTATTTCTATCAAAGTACTCCATAAACATTCCACACTCATGCTCACACCCTCCTCTCTCATGTTGCTCTTTCATTGCAACCCCCTCCCTATACCTTGCAGTCCACCCACACCCCTCTTTGTGCCTACACATTCTCCATTGCTCCACCTTCATGCTAGCACTATTTTGCCTCACCCACATTCACTTGTTTCACGTCTGTGCCTTGTGCTGCAGCCGCACACCCTTCACATGCATGTTTCATCTATCCCATTTCACCATACCCACTTTGTATGCCATAGTTACCCGATCCATAGGGCACAAATACTTCATCAATCGCCCCTTTGGTTTTCCAGTTTTCTCGTACACAAAATCATGACTCTTTAACCTCCTCTCAGTAACTTGAAACACTCCTGGGCCATTAACACAACAGTTAAGTTTAATGAAACAAATTTCTTGTGAATGAGAGATTTTGCATTCTTATTGGTTTTCATGCAAGCTCCAACACATTGATGCTTCTCCAGAATGCTATGACAACGACAAGTTTGTAAAATATGAAGCCTCAGATTATGTTATTTTTACTTGGTTGTTCAAAAATCTTGGACCATCTATTTTCTCAATTGTCATGTTTCAACACCATACCAAGATGATATCAATTTTTTGCATAAGAGCTACTTTCAAAATATTTATACCTCTTATATTTCTATTTTATATTACTATATTTTCTTTAAAAAATGATATGCAAATATAGATATGCTATAGTACAGTGAGAGAGAAATTGAATGAGTTACTTTAGCATTGCCGCTTCACTACTTATTTGATTGTTTGGTAGAAATAAAATGAAGAATATCATGTAATCACGCTTATAAGCTTGTATACTTCCTATAGGGTGTACGACATCTACTTTATTTTAGAATATTAGTATTTACTATAAATATCCCTTATCGATCTTGAGTGGATGCCATTACAATAGCCTATTATCTTATCAATGATATCTACTTTTTTGCTAAATAATCTTTCACCCATATCTATACTTTATCACAACCAGACTGCATTACCTCTTATACCTAGTGTATATGTGCATATGCTTTGTTGATTCTTTCCACTCACAGGACAATCTTTCTCTTTGTCATTTAGTGTGTATTTTTGGGTATCATTAAAAAAAAAGTTATAGATGCTACCATTAAGCGATGCTCATATACTTCCACTGGTGTTACTTTTCATAAGGCCTCACTTCTTTTATCCCTCTTCCATACATACACCATTTATTTCTCTTCCTTCACAAGCTTTTATACCTGCCTCAACCCATCTAAGGGTTTAAACATGATGAACTCAAACACCATCTCCAATTTCATCTATATCCATATTATCAGATTCAACTACACAACCTTCTGTGGATGAACAAACCAATCAACAATTGCCAATTGCCCTACAAAACATGAAAATAATACACTGCTCATCTCATTCACTCTTATAATTGTTTGATCACTTATTTTCTACTTTTCTTACATTTGACGTATCGTTATCATTTATGTTGTTATCAGCATCATAAAATCCTCAATTGAAGTTGGATTATAAATGATGAGAAAAAATCTACTCAATCTACATATGTAGATTTAAGTAGCTCCACCTTCTAGGGTTGAACCAATTACTTTTCATTGGGCATTCATCATCAAATTTCATTATGATAGCTTGATCAATTGATACATAACTTGATTGGTTGCCAAAGGGTCTATAGGATAGATTATTTTAGCACATTGCCCACTATTATCAACATTAATTTTTCATAGATTTTGCTATTTGCGGCAGCGGCAAACAATAAAAAATAATCTTTTGCAAAAAAAAAAAATGCGAGTGGTACTTTTCTCAATGGTAATCTCGATGAGGTAGTTTAAAGAGCAACTATATGTGAACGTTACTTAGGAAAATAATTGTACATGTTTGCTCAAGAAGCCCGTTTATCGTCTTAAATAGACCCTAAGCTTGGTTTTAAAAATTCTACGAACTTTATGCTATGATTGACCTTCATAAGAGTATTGCAAATTATTCAATATTTATTTGGCATATAACATTAGACTTTATTGTACTAGTTATTATATTGATTCTATCTTATATGGAGTAATAAAGATAAATCATCTTTAAAGTAAAATAATATTTACATGTGTTTTGCTACTAAAGGTCTAGGACAACAAAACTTTTTCATGGAAATGACTTTGCTTATAGCAAAAAAGGGCAGCCCTCTTTAGAGGAAATAAGCAAACAATATTTTTTAAAAGACTAGCATTCAAGGTTTCAAACTTGCTGATACTCTTATGAATACTCATAATATTTAGGCAAGAAACCCATCGATGATTGTGAGCCAACAAATACAAAATCCAAAATAAAATCATTGATAGGCTATTTATGCATTATTGGATGTATCAAAAAGAATCCTGAAAATGTGTTATTATGTACAAAACCCGAGCACTTAGATGAAAAATATTCTCCAACATCGATCATGTGGGCTAGGTTGAAGATAACTTTTAAATTTTATATTTTTAATGTTGGTAATGTGGTCACTTAGTAAAATAAGATACAAATTACAGTCAGATCCAATGTAAGCTCATAGACCATTCTGCATGTGACACTACATAGGTAAAAACACTCTACATTGCCAACAACGTTATGCTCAACCAAAGAAGCAAGGATATTATGGAGGATCTTACTCACCATTCAAAATGTTGAGCTTTTTAGGAAAATTGGCACCCCTTGTGACTACACTTTAAATGAGTAGCTAATACTTCTATAAAAACTCTAGCTCTTTCACCCTTTTTCTTAATTAACTAGATGGTGTTAAATGATATACAAGCTTTAATTGGATGGAGAGTGTTAGCATAGAAAAACATCAAATCAAAGAAGCATTATATATTTGATGAGTAGTTTATGTTTATTTAACTGCAATTTAGAACATCACAATCACTCATCTCTTAAATAGAGGGGCCCTCTAATGAATAAAACACACTAAAGAGCTTGCTCCTCTAGTATACAATTTTAATAAAAATTGATCTCGGTGGTCTACCATAGTTGCTGACCCTAGGTAATTTGAATAAGACCAAATGATCATAATGATACACAATCACAGTAGTCCAAATCAAGTAATAGCAAGTCCTAAACCATCACATCCATCATGTTCCATTAATTATTATGATATCCTTGAACTTGCAACAACAACAATGATACTTAACCAACGGATTAACCATGTGAAGAATGTTACAGCCAACATTAGCTACCACCACCACTAATGCTACAAGAACTAGTGTAGCCTTATTAATGCTTGCCACTACCAACAGTGCATTATGGATTAGTTGGATAAGATTAATGATGATGATGATACAGTGTCACAATTAGAAACGAGTCCAACATTGTTAATCAACACATCAACCATTAATCATGGTGACATTCTTGAGTTTTCCATCACAAAGAAAGTTGAAGTGAGGGCATTTACGATATAAAGTGAGCTTATTATAAGATAAATCTTTCATTTTTTTATTTTTTTGAAGCATTTTTTTAGTAGAAAGTGAATAAATGCAAGTTTCTACTTTTAGAACTGATGAGGAGTATGGTTCAATAAAGAACGCTTGAAAGTCACCTTCTATGTTCTTTTACATAATTTAATAAAAAGAATGATAAAAGCAAATGGGATGATGGTTACAACTTTCTTTCTATTTGCAGAGAAAAAAAAAATGGAATTCACTACAGCAAAAATAGCATAAAAACTATTGATATAAGATGTCACAAATGAATATCACAGATATGCCCTTCAACAAAACTAACCTCAGGAACTAAGCTCCACTAAGTTTCAAACAATTGTTGAAACAAACAAGCCTTAATTGATATACATAAGTATCATATCTTAGTCGAATCGGATTTAGGTTACTGGCTCATGAATTTTCCATATCAAAAAGATGTATTTCTCTATTCCATAGCTCTCAACTTTTACCATAATCTGCTACAGCTTTTCTTCTTGGCATCTCTTCTCTCATGACACACTTAGACAAATAATTGGAACGACAAGTACATCCTAAATCAAGGATGGAAAAAAGTTTGATTATCCTTCAAGCATTATAAAATTAAGCATTCCTCATTTCAATGGAGAAAATCCATAGGAATAGCTTTAATAGGTTGATCATTTCTTTTCATGCCACAATCTTCACAAATGTTTTTTTTTTTTCTAATTTCATTAGTGTGTAGAAATAGTCTGGCATTGTGCTACTACCAATGGATGTCTTTAAACAAGCAGTTGAACTCTTGAAATATTTTCAAAACAATGTGATCCAACAGGTGTACAAGACTAATCAACTGGAATTGCGGCTACATAAAGGAGCACCATGGTTACAAGTGGATGAACTCGAGGATTTCCTCAAGTGCCTCTTAGTGACATTCCTTCTTGTTCTGGCATGCAAAATAGAAATCCTCGAGAGATTATAGGCCGCTAGCTCCGTCCGATTGACTTGATAGTTTGACCTTGATAAAAAGAACACTGAACAATGATCAAGGCATTGTATTCTATAAATATCCCATTAGAGCTTGATATGAAAATAATGAATGAGTCTTCACTTTATTTTACATCATTCTCTTTTTTGGGAGATTAAGCAAGCTCGAATTACTCTATTAGGATTGAGTTCCAAACAACATAACTCCAAATTTCTCCCCCACCAAAGCTCCAACACCAAAATCATGTTTGAGTTATTATGCATTCAACATCTAAAACATGCCTAAAGTAGCCAGTCATTGGTGACTTCAAAGTAGCATTACAGAATCTTTGTAGGCAGTATATGCTTGTGTCCCTATATCTTCCAAAATAAAAATTGTGTAGCATTACAGAGAGAAAAGCTGTACGAACTTGGGGTTTTCACTTGTCCTCCTCTCTGAGTGAATTACTTAATTAGGTTACTCCAGGAACCAAGCATAGGAAATTTTTTGGAATTTTCCACTATTTAGAACTATCGGTACCTCATGGTTGAATTTCATCAATCAGCTACTAAAAGTGCATTAAAGAATGGTATAGCTTGAGTCTAAGAAAATTAAAAAAAAGACAAGCTGCATAAATATGATAAACTATAGAGAATCATTAGTAAAAATTGCTAAACTTCGGATCATTTTAAGAGGCTTACCAACTAATGTCTAATGATTGAAGTGCAAGTGCTATATTACTAACATCGTATAATTTAAAGATTGATCATGCATTCATTAATTTACTCACCTTCCACACAAGAATTCCTTTGCTCCTCAGGTACTGTGCTCTCATGTCAACTGTATTTATCCATGAATTGCAAACAAACTGGGCACTTGGACCACCATAGACACTAATTAGTGCCTTATAAGGAGGTGGTCCATATTTTTCTGCATCAGGTTGATACAGAGCGCCATAGAGAATGGTTCCATCGTTAGCCGAAATCTGGATTATTTCTGGCGGAGAAAGCTGAAGCTTCTTGAACCTTGGAATAATCAGTGGCTGCTCATACAAGGGCATTATTAAGCTCCCATCACGCAGAGAACAAAGTAATACCCTTGGTGGAATGTTTAAAGAGTCATGAACATCAACAAACCTTTGCATCTGATGATCAAGAATAACAGTATGTTTTCCCTGGCCATGAGTTAGCCTCCTTGGCGATTGTAGGGGAAGGTTCCAGTCTGGGAAGAGGCTGGTGCAGTACAAATTAGATTCCAAAGGTCCATCCATAGTCCCAGTGAAGTAAATTAGACCAGCACTCTCATTAACACCTACAATTTGCTCAACCATCCAATCTCCTTGTGTGATTGGCCCCAGGCAAGCTCCATTCTTGTCATGAAGGTAAAGATGTCTGAAGCCAGTCTTATCACTAGCCCAGATAAAGCCCCCAGGAAACTTTTTCTCTCCCTTATCTAGAGGCGTGAAACAATCATGCAAATTTATCCATATATCCTGTTCTTCTACCAACACAAGTTCCTTTTGTCCAGTCCCAATATCAAACTTATAAATTTTCAATTTGGTATGAGATCTGTTGAGAACCTGAACCATCAGAGCATTATCAGGCATCCAATTGACTCTAGCTAAATATTCATCCTCATGATCCACACTAACTTTCCCTCCACAAAGAAGATCCATCCAAGTGATCCTTTCCCCACAGGTTGAAGCTACTCCAATCCGAACTTTTACATTAGAAGCTCCAGCAAAGGGGTATGGATGGTCTTCCTGTGCGCCTGTACCAACGAAACTTTTGCCCTGATGCATAATTCTAAAAGAAGGAATTTCAGATGAATCAACTTCTGCAAATGCAATGTTTCTACTATCGGGTGACCACCAGAATCCTGCTTTTCTATCCATCTCTTCCTAGCAGTTTATAGAATGGAGAAGGACGCAGTTTTGGTTAGGCAATACACACCTACTCAACCATTTAAATTTGGTTGATGGATAAAGTAAATGAAGGAGATAATTGTACCTGTGCAATATATTCAGCAAGGCCATGAGTCTGTCAATTAAGAACAAATAGCAGCGGTCAGATTCTTCATATACACAGGAACTCAAACAAAAAAAGTAAGAAAAAAAGGCTCTTCAATCAAAAACTACAAAAGTATAACAAATCATCCCAACCCCCAGCCCCCTTACAACCCCATCAGCAATCATAGAATAATAGAAAAAAGTTCCAAGGACTCCTCAATTCTTCATGCTATCAAGTCCTGTGAACTTCGCATGCTCTATAAAAGATTCTCTTTTTATCCAACTTCGGTAGAAAACATTTAAATAAAGAAAAGAGTGTAACAAAGTTATACCTCCAAATATAAATTATGCCCACAGCATATAATGCACAACTGTAAAAAACATAGTACTTATAGTGCAATTAATCTACAACTTTCATCTATCTGTGTCTTTTTGCCCTAATAGCCAGTCACTTAGCCAATAATTTGACCTGTTCGTAGTTAATCTTGGGAGCATAAATCTTAGCACGGATGTAATTTAACTGTTATATATTATAATTTACCATTACAATAAGTCTTATGTCAAGGTCAGAAAAGTATAATAAAAATAAATTTTCAATCCTCCCAACTAAAGAATAAAAAATACAGAGGCTCCATCGTGCAGAATGGAATAAAGTTCTCTTCATATAAAGGTGCACATCATGCAACATATTCATACATGATAAAAAAGATTAGATCTCTCCCCATCATTATTGATTTCTTTTGTTTTTTGTTTGTTGAGAAGAGGCAATGACATGTGAGAGTATTGAGTTTAATCCTATATCAAATATGTGAACAATATGTGAGTGCCGAAATAGAAGTTATAGATGGCCCTCCCCATTGGCCTCATTTTAGTCTTTGGTTCACACACCATAATAAATACAATTGAAGATGGTTTGGCTGGGATTGTGTGGTTCATGCTTTGTGGCTCCCGGAAATCTTGACTTGGTTCTACAATGGTTAAGCAAGATTCAAGAGCAACTAACCCTATGGCAGCTCCACATTATTGAGCAAGCACTACGTATATGATATGTGATAATGATGAAAAGGTTAATTTCAAGATTGATGACCGATTGAAAACCGACGTGGAGAGCCATCATGTGAGGTGAGATAATCTAGGCATGTTAGAGTACTGGATTCAGTGAAGAACAAATTCTAAAAAAGCTCTTCGCACCCATGTTGTAATATGGCAGACAAGCACGCCTTGACACACGTTCAATGCATTTAAATTTTGTTTGGCATGTTTTATTCCAAAATTATAATCGGGCATGACTATGATACATGTCAACACAAATGAGACCATACAAGTAAGCTTGAAACAAAAACTTGCCGTTTGTGAATATCTCATATTCAAATAGTTTAGATGCTCGTGTTCATTTTATTATTAAGTAAATAAGCCAAACAAGAACATATTTTTCTAGCAAGATTTTTAAACTAGTCAAATTCAAATCAATCTTTAGTCAATTGTGTCAAAACTGTTCGGCTTGCTATTTGGTCAAAATAAATAAATACATGAATATATATAAAGATTATTATTATTCCTAATTTTATATCGTGTCAGCACATTATTTCTTCATTTATGTAAGTTCAAAATTGGCTATTATTTAGCTCATTTGCGGTTTAATCCTAATGAGCTGAATAGGAACACTTTGTTCTTGGAGAATTTTAAATACGAGTTAAACAAGAATACACCAAATTTCAAATGAGCCGAAAGCAATTAGCTCGTTAAAGTTCGGTTCGTTGACACTCCCACATAAGCTATAATTGATTTAACAAATTTTGGTTATAGGTCTATTTAAGGGTTTAATTAATGTGACATCAACATGATATTTTTTATTATTTTAAAGATTTTATACCGTTTTAGGTTTTTGACATTTTGTGTAAGCAATTGAAAGTTAAAATGATGTCCACAGTATTATTGGCATAAATTAATTGAAATAAAATTATAATTGAAGCAATATTATTTTTTTCTTTTGTTGATTCTTAACCTTTATGTGAAACATATGACCTTATATTTCATTGTGTAATATTTTTATGCATAAAACATTGACCATGATTTTCTTTTATTATGAATTTTATATAAATAATTTATTGAAAACATCATGTCCATAGTTTTTGTGTTCTATTTTTTATAATAATGCACTGATTGTATTGTAATACTCAAACATTGAAAATGTGCCGTTGCAAAATAACACGAATATCTTATATGCAAATTTTTTTTAAAAAAAAAAAACTATAAAGAAGCATTTCATTACATTCTACTCTTCAAAAGGATCATTTTGATACAAATATGTTGAAATTAAGAATAAAACGAAATATTTTTATTGATATAAAAAGAGAGTATAAATAACCCTTACATGAATCCTAGGATAAGAAAGACAAAAAAAAGAAAATAACAAGAAGGAAAAAATATAACACATAATATCTCCAATTAATCAGTTCATATTAATTATCTGAAGATAAAATGAAACAACATAAAATATGAAACCCTAAAATAGGAATGGAAATAAATCAAACCCAAGAAAATAAATTTAAAATAAGAAAAAAAAATAAAATTATATTAGGAAATAAATCTAATCCTCATAACTTTTAATAGAAATAAATTATTTCTTAATGTAACCTCTATCACTCCCTTCAAGTTAAAATATGGAAGTTAAAATATGGTTGAAAATCATATTCAACTTGGATTTGAAAACATCAATCAATGAGCGAGGAACATCATGTGAAGTAGAACATGAAGTCTTCATCTTGTACTATGGTTGTCTTTGACTGCAGTTCTTGCAGTGTCTGTAGATAAGCGCAAGACATTTGCAGGTAATGCTCCAGGGGAGTTTGTAGAGAAGCAGAAAAACTGCAAAAAAAAACTAACTTGTTGACTGCGACTGTCTTTGACTGCAGTTCCTGCAATGTTTGTAGATAGACAGAAGACTCCTACAGGTAATGATGCATGGGAGTTTATAGGAAAGTAGACAACCTGCAAGAAATACTGAATTCTAGTTGAATGTGATTGTTTTTAACTGCAGTTCATGCAGTGTTTGTAGGTAGGTAGAAGGTTCTTACATGTAATGCAGTAGAAGAGTTTGCAAGGAAGTAGACAACTAATAAAAAAAACTACAAAGTATGGTTTGCAGAAAAAGAAAAATCTCTCGAGGAAGGTCTTAGTGCAGGAAAAACTCCGGATGAGAGCCTAATACAGAAAAATGCTCCGGAGGAGGGCATGCTACAGGACAATCTCTGGAGAAGGGTATGCTGCCAGAAAAATCACGGAGGGGGGCCTGATGCAAGAAAAAGCCTTCGGAAGAGGGCTTGCTACAAGAAGAATTTTGGTGGTGGACCTGCTGCAGGAAAAGTACAGAGGAGGGCCAAACAAAGGAAAAAATTCCGGAGGAAGATGATCTGCACCGAGGAGGGCATGCAACATGATACTTCTGGCTGCGGAAAGAGTTTCAGTGACAAAGGAAAACTAGAGGACATGCATGGAATTTTTGGGCAATGAGGAAGAAACGATGGAGAAGGGCATGTAAGTCGGTTGTTGGGATTTCATTCAAAGATACATCGAGTTTCACCTCTATAATAACCTTTCTCAAGTTGTTTTGAAAACAAATCAAAGATGAACTCCTCTGTAACAAGTTTTTCTTATTTTCCACAATCCATGCATGTCAAACGTCAAAGGACGTCACAGAGGTGGCTGCAGGAATTGTGGCTGTGCAGGAATTTGAGGCCCGTAGAAAGGTGTTGGTAAGGTCTGCAGGGGAAGTTTTTCACCGTCGGCTGTTAGGGATTAGCAGGGAAGGGGCCCAACTGCTTGAAATTTGCAGAGGTGGATATCATATAGATGATCCTTGAACACACAAGACAACATTCATCTGCCTCATCCAAAACAAACATTTTGATGTAGATAGGAAAAAAAAAAAGACCACCTCCTTAACATATCAAACATACGACCAGGTATGCCAACAACCACATGAACATCGCTAGAAAGTATTTGCTCATCCTCCCTAATGCTCGTCCCTCCCACACAAGCGTGAACCTTCACTAGGTAATCACCAAGTGCTCGCATAGCTTTTTAAATATGGCTAGCCAGTTCCCTTGTAGGAGCAAGAATCAAAGCCTGTCATTCAACCAAACCATAATTGAGCTGTTGCAAAATTCCAGAACAAAAATCGTTGACTTTACCATCCCAGATTGTGCCAATTGAATAACATCCAAACCCTATCAGAAAGGAACAATTCCACTTTGCTAAATAGCAAAAGGTTTCTTAAGCCCGTAACCATAAATGCCTCGCAGAAGATTTTCATAAACCTCATAATAAGTTGTAAAAAAGTCTTGTCCATCACCTGCAAGCAGCTCATTCAATTTTGTGTCGGAATTTTTTTCCATCAAACTGAGACCCTTAAGGTGCAACTCGAGCCATATTTCTGTGAGGAGACAGGTGTGAAAGAGAAAATCTGCCACACCTATTTGCAGTGATCAGATGAGAAGGCTACTGGTTGTGGACTAGCAGGTGAAGTTTGGAAGGGAACAGATGCTGGAAGAATCAGCAGTTAAACCTTCAGGAACCCAACTGAAGGACGCCTGTAGAGAGGCCGATAGTTGAACGGGAGAAGACAAACCTGCAGGGAGTGCCGACAACAGAAGAAAAAAACTACAGGGAAGATGTAGACAACTAGGTAGATGCCCCGACAGCAGTTAGGGTTTGATCCTAGGAAGGGCCTGCAACACGACAAAGATTGTTGGCTACAAGGAATATGAAGTTTCCTGCGGTAGGAGATTCCAGAGTATTTTTCTAGCTTTAATATCATATTTAAATTCAAAATAAAGTAAAATACTTTTATTGATACGAAAATGGGGTATAAATAGCCCTTACATGAATCATAGAATAGAAAAGACAATAAAAAGAAAAAACAGAAATAGAAAGATATAGCACCTAATCTCGTCCGTTAATCAATTAATATTAGTTATTTGAAGATAAAAGAAACAATATAAAATAAGAAATAAAAAACTCATAGGACTT